TGATGTTCGGTTGTCAGCCAAAGCCTGGAAATAGCTAGAGTTCAGCAAGTGTATTCACAGTGTGAATTTAACATTTGACTTTTCTTACCACTATTCGATTAAATTCTCTTGCACATCTCTGCCTCAGGAGGTGACCCTTGAGCATTTAAAGGGATGGCTGCAGCTTTCTACCTGCTGGAGGCTTCAGCACAACAGCAAACAACTGCTAGCATGGTAGCAAAACTGAAAAAACAGTGTGAAGTGTCTGAGCACTGGACACACAGCAGGTGATGACACAAATCAAAGGTAATGATCAGTATTTTAACTGTTTATAATAGGGCCTTCTGGGAAGATCAGAGTGGCCTTTCTCAGCCAGCCCATCAGAAATATAAGACTGAAAGTAATGCTTTTGATTCGTGCTGCATTATTTTTTTCCTTCTGTAGATCTCAAAACATTCACAGAGTTGGGTAACAACCGTCAGCTCAGGGTAACAGTTCAGTTTGCAGCAATCACAACGAAAGGCATTGCCAGTAGATAAGATGGCAATATACAATATAAGATGGCTCAGGAATAAGAAAGTCTTCTTAGCTCCAAATTTCTAGAACAAACAGTGGCAATAGAAGAGCACAGTGTGCTCCAGGTACTTGTCTTTAAAAGCAGAAGATGAGCACTGCTTCCAGAGAGGCTGTGGTAAAACCTGCCATTAAGCAGAAAGTACAAAATCCAGGGATCTGATAAAGCTCTTCAGTTACAAGAGACAGGTCCAAAACTCACGCCCTCGGCATGTTGCGCTTAAAGCTGGAAGGCACTCACTGATTAAAGGTCGCTTCCAAACACACTGCAGATTTCTTTCCACTTTTCAAAATATTCCTTTGTGAGTTGAGGAAGAAGCAAAATTCAAGGTTCCTCTTACCTTCACTTTCTCTGACTGAGTTCCTTTAACATCCTATCACTCCTGTCCTTGAAATTCATAAAAAATACCACACTTGTTCAAAGTTGGACCACATAATAAATTGTGTGTGGCAAGGGGGGTTGGAAATTGAGATGTCTGATGGCATTAAAAGCGATGGGAAAAATTATCATAAAATCATTTTTAAAACTATGAGATCGCACAAGATTTGCAATAAACCACGCACATGCATAGCTCCAGAACAAGGTTTTCCACTTTCATCTTAAAGAAAAACACCTGTGGTAGGTTCCGAAAGGCAGAAAAACTTACATTGGTTTAAAGTGCAATTAGCTGACTGATGGAGAGATCATCTTGTATACACAGAAAGGACAGAAGCTCTAGGATATTCACCTTCTTGTGCAGGAAAAGCCCTGAAAGATAGGGGTAACTTCAATTACCACTGCAGACCTCTAGGGCAATGGCTAATCCTACTGTATAGAGGCCACTCGTTACATCTCAGAATTGCAACAAGAAGAGAATTTAGTCAAGAGAAAGTTTTCAATACGTTCACCAATTTTTACCACCATTTCTCCAAGTCAGAATGGCAGAACAAAACTTCAAGTCTTTGAATTCCAAGAAGGCAAAACAACAGACAGAGGGACAAGAATATGGCTAGAAGTTTTCAGACAAGAAAAAAAAAAAAAAAAAAAAAAAAAAAAAAGGAGTTCCCAACATCAAGGCACAAAATTAGCATAGGTACATGAAAGGCAGAAACAATCAGACTGGAGGGGAAAAAAGGTATTTTAAAAGCTTATTGGCTTATTGCAAGGGAAAAAAGAATGCTGCCTCTCAACTATGTTCAGGCAATAGAATAAATCAGCTTTTCCTTTGTTCAAGGCAGATCATAGGTAATCAAAATTTCACTTTTTGCCTGTTTTTTTTTTTGTAGTTTCACAATTTTTCACTTGTTAGTAGATTCACTTCTTAATAAACTGGATGGACAGTAACCAAAGCATGTCTTTCTTGCATCCTGAAAACCTGCCCATCTTACAATTCAGTATTTTCTCTCAGCAGACACACTTCCACCCTTCAAATACTTCCGTAACAATGGCTCCTAGTGAAAAATAAACACCTCAATTTCAAAACTATTCATAAATAGAGTAAAAGAGAGAGCTGAAAAACCTTCCACTTGACAGCCTGTCACCTATATGAAGCAGACCTGCTAAAGTCAAGAGACAGATCCAGATGCTGTGTAACAATTAGAGAATTCGGCAAACTCCAGTCAAGGGCAGACTTTACAAAAACTCTTAATTCACAAATGGCCACAGACTAATTATAGGCACAGGGAGATGTTGGAAACTGCTTTACCATTACTGATAGGGAAGGGGAACTTCCCTTCCAGTCCTTCCTTCACTCTGTAATTGGTCAGAAATTGCTCTTGAATTTTAATTAGTGAAGAGGAAGGAGCGACAGAAGAAACAAGGAAATTTTAACTATCTCCGACTCCATGAGACAAGGACACAGAGGAAGCCAAGAAGCAGCTAACAAAATAGGATGTCTTCACAACAGATTTCCAATTTACATGCAGCCTAGCGCAGACAATGCTTTCCATGCTCTATCTACTCCATGGGCTAGAGGACTTAGCCCAGCGGTTATTTTAATTCACAGAATTTTATCAACATGGCTGCAGTCCAGGAACAACGCAGGTCAATCATGCCTGACATTCATACGGTTTTCAGCTACCCTTCAGCGGCTGGACTGTCATGAGTTTCAGTGAGAGCTTTATGCAGAGCACTGATAAGGGCAACAGACATCCTTGGAAAAGGAGGGCTCCTCCAGGTGCCCAAAGACATCTGGTTTTCCTAGACATCTTGTCCATGAGTTTCCCTGGGAGGGATTCAAACATCTTAGCTCTCAACTAATATAGAATTCACAGGGGCAGAAAATCCATTTTGACAACGCAACCCACTTCAATATAAAGCAGCCATTTTCATCATAAAAAAACAGCCAGTTACCCAGAGTGGCAAGGACAAGCAGACACCTCATTGTACTTGAGGGGTTACTATGACCTCTTAAACAGCAAGACCCCTATCCAAACTGGTATTCAATGTTAAAATCCCTGAAAATCAACATCATCATCATGCACTGTCTGAATGAAGTTGCTATCAACCCAAAAGTTACACAAGGAGAAACAGGGGCTACATAAATTCTAGGCAGGTAAGTTCTTACTGATGTTAACTAAAACTTAAACTGGTTATTTGTTCCAATACAGACAGAAAGCTACTGACAACTGCTGAGAAAACAGCATCTGATCCTTCTAACAGTCTAACTGCAAAAATTCAGTAAAAAAAAAAAAGTGTCCACCTTCACTTTGCAACGTGAAGGTAGCAAGACAGCATCTATGCTACAGACACTAGTTGATGGGACTAAAGCTAATTCACAGCATTACTGTCTTCTGCACCTCTTCCCAAGTGTCAGTTCTTTGTGCTTGTAACTCAGTGCCAGCACGGGCTTGGACAAGCCTGTCCATGGAGGTGTTACAGGTGCTCATGAGGAGTGTCTTGCGCTCTCAACTACACTGGATGGCTGTTTCACATGCCCACGCATTTCTGTGCTCTGCACAGGCTCTATCCCTTCCTTTTTTAAGCCAACAGCATTGACACAGTTCCTTGGGGCTGACACCTTTGACTGTAAATGCTGCTGGAAAGATGTGTGTAGTGCGATCATGAGTACAGAAAATCCACGCTGACTCTGCTGGTTTGGGTGCTCCATGAGGCAACAACTTCTACTCAGAGAGCTGCACCAAATTACAGTAATGAGGGATATCTGACTTGGTGGATCGCTTTTCTCTAAGCACCAAAAAGGCACCAAATACCCTTTTAGGACAGTTCAGGTAACAGGAGTTGCACAGCTCTTGATCTTTGGAAGTTTCCCCAAAACAGATCAGACATTTGCTGTAACTCTAGAGTAAAGGCTTCAAACCCTCTATACAATGAATTTATATTACTTCTCACTATGATAACGGACATAAAGCACCACACCAATATTTCTGGGAACTCTCTCTGTGACTTTTGCTCTTCCACTCATCCACCTCCAAACGGCAAAATGAAAAAAACACAAAAGAAAAGAAAAACTAATTCAGAATGAGGTCTCTTGCACCCAACTCCCATCTTCCCATCCCAAATAACCCCAAGCTAACATAGAAGACTAGGAGCTCGCTGGTTCACATCTCATTGCTTTGCCCATTCAGGGGAAGTTGAGGGAACTTTAGGGCTACTCTGTATTTTTTTCTACTCAGCAGAGAAGATGCAAAGTATTTGTACTGCTCCAGCTGACTGCCACCCTGAAGACTGTGGTTTCATATGCATGGGGCACATATACACCTCCACTGAGGGACATACTTGGTGGAAAAGTAAAAAAAAAAAAAACCCACAAATCACACACAGAGAAAACAAACTTGCTTATTCCTCAACATGAAAAGATGAATCTCTTTCATGAGCGTGCTGCACACTGGGAAAACAAGGTTGTGCAGTATAATGAAATAGGTAAAAGGCAGTTAAACAGTAACAACTCACTCCTTGCATGTCCATGTTTAAACTAAACATTGTCTGCATACAACAGTCAACTATATATATGTTCTTTCTGCAAGCTACCAATAAGTCACAAAATTTTACAGGCAAGATCAGGTTATATTGGAAAGCCATCAGCTGACAAGAACGACAGACTGCTTTATTCTGCCAGATTGTTATAACAATCTGAATGTTATAACAGACCTCCATTTCTCTAGTATCTGCTACTCAAGCATTTCTATTTGCATTTTACCAAAATCACTAACTGCCTGTACAGAATATACAAGAACTACCGCGCCAAAACTCAACTACCAGGGGGGTAGTAAAAGGCAATTGCTGTTTATTGGGTCACGACAATGATCTGACATACCTGTTTGGTTGTTTTTGTTTTTTTTTCCTCTGTATTTTGCTCAAACATTTGGCACCTGCAGAAACATAGTGCCCCCTAGCTCCCACAGGACTCCTGAGAAGTAGCAGTGCTCAGTAAGACTGCATTTCTTGCAATTCCAGCATGTACAGGGCAAAGGAGACAGCAAAAGCACTTTGCTACCTGGGCACCTACCTGTTCTGGGGTCAAACAGCTGATTGGCCTCCAAGTCTGTGAAAGTGCTGAAGCAAATGGGGCATTTAAAAGAGGCGCGATTGGTGGAGTCTCGTTCATCGGTCTCAATCCTCCTTCTCATGTGGTCCAGCTTGTACTTCACCACGTTCACCAGAAGGCGGTAGTTGATGAAGTAGTAGTTATGACGGGTGGTTTTGCCATCTGGAGCTGTCTCTACCCTCATTCTGCATTTGATGAACTTGTCACCCTTGAGCGTGTTGAGGACTGCCCGCAGCTGCTTCCTGTCAAACTTGAGCAGCTCCAGCATGTCCTCTTCCTTCACGCACGGGTTCCGGATGAGAATGTCCAGAGCCAATGCATGCTCAATGCCATAAAAACCACGAACCACATATTTGGCAAGGCGTTTGAGAGCTGCTGGGACTTCGGTGAGGACATCCGGGTCAGTCATATCAGGTTCAGATCCTGAGTTTCATGTATACTGCAGCGGGGAAAAAAACAAAAAACACGCACGTGAATTTTTAGCTCATTTTCTGACTTCAGTAGTTATGATTCAGTTACCTACAAACAAGGAAAAGGGCTGTTCTCTATCTCCTTTCCCCAGACCTGAAAGTCTTCTTTAGGTGTTAACAGTGTGTTGTTAACAAACAACAACAAAAAACCCACACCACACAACCTTTCCACTTAAGTACCTTTTAACAAAACAGTGGAAATCTAAGAAACTGAAAGAATTTGCTACACTTGGTGGATTTCCAGACTACCTATCAAGAACCACTGGAGTTGGAATATGAAATTTGCCTTTGGAGCTCCAAGAGAGAGCTTTGTGACTCTCTGAGACTTGTGGCTAGGGAGAAGAAAAAAAGAGTACAAAAACAAAGAGCCTCAGAGAGTCCACAGAAGCAGCCTGCTACCCTACTTCATGCCACTAGCTCATATTAAAAATATGTCTGTTTGCTTCTACTCTTCAGATATCACTAGACAGAAATCTTCCACAAGGACAGCTTGCTACTACAGCTGGGTACACATTCAGCAAAGCCTCCCAGATGTGCCATAAAATAGATGGGTTTATTCCTTATTTTTTGATAAATAGATCATAGCTATCATCCGCAGCATGACAACTATTAGCACTATTAATTACTACATCACAAAGAGCTTCAGCCTTGATCCTAGATGAGCAAACATTTCCTTCCAGGAGGCTGATCCCTCATTTAAAGCATCTTATATTTAGGTCTTAAAATCCCAGAGATAATATAGCAGAATAAACAGAGATCAAGACTTGGTGAACATGAAGCGATGGATTTGTTAAGAGAAGAAAAAAAATAGAAAAGGAATGTTCAAAGGATAGCAAAGGTCCATAACATTTTCTGAGTTACTCATGAAAACTTACAGTGCAGTGACAAGGCATTAACTTCGAAATGAATTTTACTATTTACCATTTTATTTTTCTTCAGTGTAACATAAAATGGCAAAAGTGGTCATCGCAATTATAATCCCTTGTATATCCCAGAAACATTTATGCGTCATGCAGGGAATTCACTCTACTGTCACTTTCACACAGAAATAAGACACTGAGAACTAACTCCTAGCATATAACCCAAACCAGCAACCCTTCTAAAGTCATTTTTTGTCCAGTGGAAAAAGGACAGCAGCTCACTAGAGCACAGTATCTGATAAGATGGCTTTGTGCACTTCCCCATTTCTTCTTTCAAGACTACCCATCTGCAAGCAACAATAAAATTCCCCTCCACTTTGACTTCAGTGTATGAAAGATTCGAGATAAATGTGGACTATTAGAGTGTTTTTAAAGTACTGATTCAAAGGTTAGTATTTCCAGTTTTTCCACAAAAATGAATAGTCTATTTCAGCAAGCAACTTTTATATTTCTTTAGGATAGGAAGAATAATTTCTTCAACAAAAGGTTTCGTCAATGTGTGGGTAGGGGGAAACAGGAAATGACCTGAAGCTCTGCTTGTTCTTCAACAGTAAGCAATTTCTGTTGGTGAACTAATATGAAGAGTAAATTCCTGCCATTTTCCATTTTTATATTTGATAAGATTTTTTAGACACCAAATACCTACCTCCCTAACAATCAAGTTTCAAATAAAGGAAAGAGATTGCCAGAAGAAAGAGAACCCATGGAAGTCCCATTTTCCTCATCACAACCATAAACCAGCTAATACTCCTTCCGAAAAACCACCACACAGCTTTCCTATGATCTCCACACCAATAATACATCCCCTCTGGAATCACCAAGCTCTAGGTGTAACTAAGGTGTAAATAAGTAGCTGCTGACTCACTTCCATCAGCTATAGCCATTTAAAACTTTCATCATTTATTCCAATAACCTGCTTGGATTTCATTTGTGCAAGAATACTGCACCTCACTCAAAACCTTCAGGAGGTATCACCCAAACTACCTTTATTTTTCTCGAATCCCCACTCTCTTCTCTTACTCCTCCTCTGCAGCTGAGGAGGGTTGGTCCCCTCAAGAGCTAGGGTCAGTGCCATTAATTAGACTTTGCATTGGGGAGCCCAATGGTTAAGTAGATTGAAGGAGTCCCATCTTTTCCACTTTTCAATTAGAAAAAAAAAAAAAAAAAGCTTTTATCCATTTGTTCCTTTTTGCTTGAGCCCAAATGCTATTCAGATGGTTGGCAGGCTGAGAAGGATTTAGGGAGAAGGTTTCTTATGCACCTTTTTCCAACTTTTCTAAGAAAAAAAAAAAAAAAAAACTAAGATGCACCATCATAGCATGAATTAGCCATGAAGCAAGTACTAGAGTCATTTAACTGTTTATTCTACACTTCTCAATCTACAGCACAAAGAATATTTTTATGGAGCTTCCTGTTAAAGCTAGTAAAGATAAAAGTGTTAGCAAGAAAGTGTATCTCACCATAGATAGCTATGCAGTATTTTTAAAACTCAAGAGTCAATCTGCATACAGCCACACAATAAAAATACCAGCAGAACAAAATTGATTTTCAGGGACAGTCTTGCTGTCACTTAAAGCTAAATCTTGCTTAAGTGAATCGCCAGGAACCTATTGATACAATAAAACAATATGAATGCAGAATTTGGCCAGAGGTCTGTCTTTATTCAAATTCCTTAATTGCACTTATTCCAAGTTCAGGCACAGTACAAAATTAATACAAATGATATTTTTTAATAAAGCATGGTACCCCAAAACAGATTAAAGAGGTCACATTTTGAAGGATAAGATGCTTTAGAAAAAAAGAAATGTTCATCTCAAAAAACACTGTCTTCAATCAATCCCTTGTTCCCCTAAAATATCCTTGTGAAAAAGGTTAGGAAATGTAGTGACCTTCAAAATATCAATTTTCTTTTTAATGAAAAAAAAAAGGGAGAAAAGCAGTTTCAGAAAACATTTCACACTGGTTACCTCACCCGGGAGCACCAATGAATAGCATTTTCTCTGCAAGACTCTCACTGCTAAGAGGGCTGCAGACTTCCCATACAAGGTGAAACTTTTTAAACAGGCTTGAGGTACAATTCCATGAAGAACGCACTTCAACAGCTTAAACTGAAGACCCACAAAGGACTTGATAAAGGACAAGCAAAACTTAAAGTTTATGCACTCTTTCTTTAATTTTCACAAATAGAAACCATTTTACTAGCTAGTGAGGCCATGAGTTTTTACACAATTGCTATTTTATGCAAATGCCTTTTACTGGAGACTTTTTATCCCACCCAAATCTTGTGCACCCTCAGGTAATATTGGGCATCTTTTTTTTTCAGTTCAGTACAGGTTTTCCTTCAAGCAGGGATATATGTAAACAAGCCCCAAGCCCAAAAATGGATTAACAAGGAATAAATTCTGAATCTAGCAGAAGACAGCCTTTGGGCTAGACAACCAATTGATTAAGGGGAGGGAAAAAAAAATAAAAAAATAAAAAATAAAAAAAGGCAAGGCAAACAAGCCATCTGAAAACACCCTAGTCAAGCTTTTGCTACATGAGTTTCAGCACTGCTAAATAACTAATTTAGCTCTGAAAATCAGTATGGACACTTGTTCTGTAATCACCAGCTTTTGCATCATCTTGAGATTTAAAACCAAACCAAACAAAAGGGCTCAAACAAGATCTTAATGATGCAGGTTGTAATTTAAAACTGTCTGTCTGATAATCACACTCTCAGCAAGTTATGTGATAGAGAAAAATGTCATGAGAGAACACATTCTGCCATCAGAACTCAGAGGCAGGGTCCATTTCTCTAGGAGAATGACACCTTGCCATCATCCCACAAAGAATACGGCACGGAAGTTCCTGAAAATCCTTACTACCTTTCACCACCCAAGAGGGGAAGGCATCCAGCTCACAAGTGCTAATGCAATATCACAAAAATATCAGTTTAAATGTAAGAGTGCAAGTTTTAACTACGGTACCCTTGAGCATTGATTTCATCTCCTACAGAAACAGTAAGCCAAGCTTGAATTAATTAGGTGTGCAAAGAAATACAGTAACACCTCCTACCAAGCTTTTAATAGATATGGATCCATTTCATAATAATGGATGAACAGCAGGGTACTGTCAAGAACAAAAAAAAAAAATAGCTAAGATAAATCACTAAGTATTTTCAGCACCACTAATAAGCCATACTAGATGGGATCATACTAGATAGCAGAATTTTCACAAATAACCAATTGAAAGAGCTCAGCGTGTAAACGTAGGTGGTTTTAAGAGAGACGGCTGCCTGGGAATTGTTTGAGCAATTAAGTATCCGATTCATTATTATGCAGAAGCTAGACCTACCTACATTGTAGGATAACATTAAATATGCGCCAATTAAAAGAAAAAAAAAACCCTCTAAAGACAAAATATTGATTTAGCTATGAGAGACACTCCTAAGAAGAGCTATAGCTACAAAATTCAACCAGATGAGGGTTGCATCTGCTTAATGGAAGGTGTACCTCAAGCTTAGTAAAATGAGGCATAGTTCCTGAGAGAGCATATTCAGAGATGACAGAAAGTAGGCAGAGAGAAGGCAAGCAAGACAGTGTAAAGGTGGGAACAAACATACACGTGCTAATTTGGGGACCACAGACTTCATAGCAGCCAGGAATTCAACTGAGCGAGTACCTCCTACGATCAGGACTTTACTGAGGCAACATTAAAGCAAATGAACTCTTCCTCTCTGTATAAGGAGATTTCAATAATTCTTTCAAGAATTGTGCTAAGGATGTTTGATCTGTTTTTCTCCCTGCTTTTCCAGACTAAAGTTGTGACAAAAGATAAGAAACATTAGAAAGACAGTACCTAGAAGCTATGATATAGAACGGCGTATTGCGAAAAATGTAAGTCAACCAATCAATTAACCTGAACTCTTATCCAATACAACACTTTAACATCAACTTGTTTTATTAATTTCATCGATAACTGTGAGGTTTGTATCGATTCCACCCCAAACTTCACCAAAATTTTTAGTTTATTGTTTCACTGTTAATTTATTTGATACAGTAAACC